ACACACACACACACACACACACACACACACACACGCCGTCCCCAACGCACTGACGTCACATTTGATGTTCATTGGCTGAAACACCGACGAGAAGCCAAGCTCCTGCAGTTGCAGCTGCAGCACCTGAGGCAGGTGCTGGTGGAACTCGTGCATGTGCAACACATCATCAAACGTGTCAAAGAAGATGCCATCAAACTGGGGCAGGTCTCCAACCACGTCCTGCCACCTGAGGAACATGGTGTAGAAGTTGAGGCGTGGGGTGAGGAATGGGCGATGGTTGGTGTTGGCGATGACGACGACGACGACGACGACAGCCGCGGTGAGCTGTGGCCAATGGAATACGCACCGCTTTCTGCAGTGCTGCTGCATGTCACAGGCGTGTAGCTCTGCGAACATACTCACGCACAAACAGAAACACACAAACAAAACACACTTGCACGCACACATCCACATACACCTACACACATGCCTGCCCCACACCTTGCGTGGATGACCTTGACGCCTGGGCGCTTGTCCCACCCGTCTGCAATCATCTTCTTGTACACGTCCGGGTGTGCCTCGATGATGGTGTGTGTGCGTGGGCTGTGCGCCTGAATCGCAGTGTCCACAAGTCCAAGCCCAAACCCAACATTCAGCACATCCCCCTGCGTCCGGCACATGAGCTCAGCGTGCGCCTGTGTGTGTGTGTGTGTGTGTGTGTGTGTGTGTGTGTGTGTGTGTGTGTGTGTGTGTGTGTGTGTGTGTGTGTGTGTGTGTGTGTGTGTGTGTGTGTGTGTGTGTGTGTGTGTGTGTGTGTGTGTAAGGAGGTACATGTGAGAGATGCGGGTGAGTGTATTTGTGTGTGCCGTGGCGCACGCGTGTGTGCGCTGCAATGCTGCAGCGTTGTGAGGTGTGCTGTTTATGCTGCACATGTCGCCCAAAGCATAGCAGAGCAAGAGCCACTGTCATAATCACCGAACCAGCACCCAACCACTGACGCACAAAAGCAGCACATGGCAGATGAAAGCGTCTCGTTCGCATGCGTCGCTCGCACCTCCATCAGTGGTTTCTCCCACATCATCATGACGCCGCGCTTTTCATCGTCAATCAAGTCCCCTTCCTTGTACCTGTCATCACAATACAAGGGGGAGGTCATCTGTTGGTGCAATAGCACGAAAGGATGCGGACAAGCTGAACGAAAAATACAATGGTTTCGTCGAGCACAACTGGAATGGCTGCGACGATATGAACATGTGCTGTAGTGTGTGTGTGCGTGTGTATGTGTGCGTTTGTTTGTGTGTGTATGTACGTGTGTATGTGTGTGTGTATGTGTGTGTGTGTTTGTGTGTGTGTGTGTGTTTGTTTGTGTGTGTGTGCGTTTGTTTGTGTGTGCACATGTGTGGTAGGTACTGACTCGACTGGGCGGGAGATGTACCCCTGGTTGTTTTCGCTCGCTTGGGCCGTCACAAGCTGCGACTTCTTCTCCATGGCAGCGAACAACATCTCAGCGCTCACACCGGCGTTCACTTTACAACGGCACAAGATAGGTACACGTGAGTGAGGTACAGCGTCGTCAACGTTGTTCAACTGCCCCTGCATGGCAAGCGCAACATACGACGCATGCCTATGCATACACATGCACGCAGGGGCGCACACTGTCCTTCTGTCTGCCTTTCTGTCTGCCTTTCAATCAACACACCGAGCGCAACACACGTTCTTGTCAACGTACGGATGCGGTTAGCAATGTCGTGGTGCTCGTTCTGAAACGCGTACTGGCCTGCGCATTTCCCCCTGCGGTCGAGGGCGTTCCAAGGCGCGCCGCGTTCCAACAGCATCACAACCACATCCTCGTGGCCGTGCTCAGCAGCGAGCATCAGTGCGCTTTTACCCTGGTCCTCCTCCTGGAAACTGACATCAGCACCGCGGCGAATCAAATCCCGCACCTGATCGGTGGAGTACATTGGATTGAATGAAGGGTGCATTCGCGTGCATGCGCGCGTATGTGAGCGAGACTGTGGCAAACAAAGTGCATACACACACACACAAACAAACAAAACAAAAAAAACATGCACATGTGCACACACACATGCACACACACATGCACGCAGAGAAAGACGCATAATGCATCAGCACACCACACACACATGCACACACACATACACACACATACACACACAAAACCTTGTCGGGGCTGCCGTCCCGTGCAGCAGCGAGCAGTTCCTGGTTCAAGCCATCGTCATCAGCATCGTCGTTGTCCTTGTGGCTCTGCAACTCACCACCACCATCCACGTGCTGCGCTTGCTGCGCTGCATCTTCCCCAGCAACCTGCTGCTGCTTGTCCTCCTCTTTCCTAGACGCCATCTTTTCGTGTGTCGTGCTGTCGTGTGTGTTCTTGCAATTGGCAAAACGGTACCTTTGTCGTGATATGCAATTTGCAAACGACAACACCCACCAACGACGATGAGTGGCGTACCAAAGTTCACGGACAAGCAGCTCAAGGAGTTTCGCATGGCCTTTGGTGCGTGGTGCGTGTGTGTCTGTGTCAGTCTGTGCATGCATGTGTGTGTGCATGTGTGTGCGTGTGTGTGTGTGTGTCTGTGTGTGTGTGTGTCTGTGTGTGTGTCTGTGTGTGTGTCTGTGTGTGTGTGTGTGTGTGTGTGTGTCGATGCGTGAGAGAAGCAGTTGTTATCTCTCTCGCACCCTCTCTCTTCCCCCACCCCCACCTCTCTCGATCCATCTCTGTCCCACGTACTCACACTCGCGTGCGATGTTCGCTCGACACTGTTCATGTGTGCATTAGACACATTTGACAAGGATGCAGATGGCAAAGTAGACTCGGATTCGTGTTGCCGTGCAATGCGCGCATGCGGAATCCCGCTCACCGTGAAGGAAGTGCAGGTGCGCCAACACCACCACCTTTCAACCCCCAGCCTTGCTCGTGTCTTTGTTTTTGCTGCCCATGAACCACATCATGAACGTGCGTATGTGTGTGTGTGTGTGTATGTGTGCGTGTGTGTGCGTGAGTGCATCTGCTTGTATCTGCCTCTCTGTCTCTCCTTTTCTCTGTGTCTGTTCCTTCCCTCTTCTTCCTCAATTACCCACTTCCACCCTCACACGCACACTTGCAAATGCAAACGCGTGTGTAGGAGATCACAACGGACCTTGACTTGTACTCGGACAGTGAAATCAACTGGGATGGTTTCCTTGCGTTATTGGAACAGCACTGGAAGCCCATCCCAACTAAGGAGGAGCTCGTCAAGGCGTTTCAAAGGGTATCGAGCATGTGTACTTGCGCTGTGTGTCTGTCGTTGTGTGTGTCGATGTGTGTGTGTGTTTGTTTGTTTGTTTGTTTGTTAGTTTGTTTGTGTGTGTGTGTGTGTGTGTGTGTGTGTGTGTGTGTGTGTGTGTGTGTGTGTGTGTGTGTGTGCGTGTGTGTGTGTCGATGTGCGGGTGGGTGTATGTTGACCTGTTTGCCAGCGTGATTGCTCTTCGAGCGCCACAACTGCCCATGTATTCCCTTCCCTGCGCCCAACACGCACGCTCATATGCCTGTGCTCCGCTTACTCGCGGCCTTTGGTGTTGTGTCATTGTACAGATTGACACGGATGGCAGCGGCTCTTTGTCTGCAACCGAGCTGAAGCGATACCTCACCAACATTGGTGACCCTCTCAGCGAAGACGAAGTGTGTGTGTGTGTGTTCGTGATTGTGTGTTCGTGATTGTGTGTTCGTGATTGTGTGTGTGCGAGAGAGAGAGAGAGAGAGAGAGAGAGAGAGAGAGAGAGAGAGAGAGAGAGAGAGAGACAGTGTGTGTGTGCACTTCTGCCTTCGCTTTGACCCTCTGCCATACAATTCTCACACTGCCCCCCTCTCTCTCCTCCCTCTTCCGCTCTCGTCTTCCACTCTCCACCTTTTCCATTCCCATGTCACCGCCTCACGCCACCAACACGCCCCCCCCCCCCCTTCCCATCACACAGTTCAAAGAGCTGCTGAAGGACGTGGACCAGGACGGTGATGGAGAAGTGTCGTTCAAGGAGTTTGTGGACCTCATGACATCTGGTGTCACATACAAGGACTATTGAGCAGATGGCAGGAAACCGCGCGTGCTCTTCCTGTGCTTTTCACTCTGTTGTTGCTCCCACTGCTGCCGCTGTCGTTGCAGCAGCAGCAGTTGCTCAGGAGAACCTGTGTCGTGTCGCTTGCCATCCACATCCTCACATTTGTGCCATGTCTCCGCTGCATTTCTTCTTTGCTTCTATGTTACCTTTCCTTATCTGCAGCAGCTTGCGCCTTTGCTTACACTTGCTTTTCTTCCTTGCCCTATGCATTGTGATGCTTGCATGTGTGTACATGTGGAGACGTGCCCTCACCATCCCCCGCATGATGCTGCAGCCGTGTGCTGAGCATTGCCGCCGCTTGTTTTGCTGTGTATGGCCGCGTGATGCGACGCGTGCAACAAACAACTCTCTTGGGCACCCCAATACAAAAATAAAACGTGAACCCACATGGGTGGGTCCTGAAGCTTTCATCACAGCATTAGCATGGAAGCAAAGAAACGCCAGCCCAACAAACAAACAAACACAAACAAACAAACAAACAAACAAACAAACAGACGAATTGGAATCAGGTGTTATTCTGCCGCTGCTGCTGCAAGAGAGCGATAATGCGGGCGCTGTCGCGCTGCAGTGCGCCCACCTTCTCCGCCAGGCTCTCCTGCACCCCGTGCACCTGCGCCTCCATGGCCGCCAGTCGCACCGCCAGCTCGTCCACGCGCGCCTTCACGTCTGCAGCAGACGCCCGCGACTGCGTCTTCATCTCCATCTTGAGCATGGTCAGCATGCCCTGCCACTGCTGCCCGGGCGTGCTCTCGCCAACCCCCGTGCTCTTGGGCACGAGCACGTGCAGCCACTTTGGAAACAGCTTGGGGTCGCTCTTCTCTGCCGGCGACAGGAACAGCTCGCGTTCGCGCAGGTAGCGTGCGCGCAGCAGCTGGAACTCAATGTCTGCGCGGTCCTGGATGCGCTCGTACGAGTCCGACATGAGCGCAATCAGCAGGTTCAGCAGCACAACGGGGACCAGCACCATGGAGATGACAAACAGGATGCGCAGCAGCACGGCATAGGTGCCGCCAAAGGTGTCCAGCTCAAACTCCGCCAGCAGCAGCATGTTGAACATGATCAGCAGGCCGTTGGCCGGGTCGCCGAGCCCGTCCAAGGGCACCGTCTTGTCATCCAGCAGCAGCAGCCGGAACGACGTCCACGCGGCGACAATGCTGATGCCGAGGACCACCAGGAAGTAGCGCATGTCAAAGCAGATGGCCAGGATCATGCGCACAAGCGGGCCGGTCGTCTTGAACGCTTGCAGGTGGTAGAGGATGCCAAACCAGCGGAGGTACGACGCAATCGCCAGCACGGCGCGCGCGTGCTGCCACCCGCCCAGGTAAGTGGCCAGCACCACAAAGGCAAGGACAATGTTGAGGGAGTCAAGCCAGTTCCAGAAGTCGCGCCAGTGCCCGCGCAGGTACCGCCACTCCAGCATCTCGTGTTTGGCCTCGGAGGCGGCGTACAGCCCCAGCACAAGCACCATGATCACCGACACCACATCTGTTGCCGAGGCCTTGCTGGACAGCAGCTGCGACACGTCGTTGCCTTGCAGATCGACAACAAACGTGAGCACGGTGATGAAGACGACGGAGAGCAGGTACCAGTTGGCCTCGTTCCTGAACTTGCGTCGCCCATATGTCTCCCACTTGAAGCGGACGACTGCGCGCGCAATGTAGTTGCCAAACAGCTCTGCCCGCCCGGCCTCCACCAGCGTGTCCAGCAGGCACGTGCCGTCAGGGAGCGTCGAAGCCGCGTATGGTACGGGCACGACGCGCGCCTCCGTGAGCACGGTGTGGTTCGACTGCGTCTCCAGTGCTTCGAGCTCCCCCGATGCCCGCAGCGACTGCCACAGGCCGGCGTTCTCGACGGGGCACTCGTCGCCCACCACAATCATGCGCGATGTCGGGAGCCGCGTGGCGCGGTGGTCGTAGCCGACGTCAGCACCGGACAGGACGAGGCCAAGGTTTCGCAGGAACGCCGCGGCAACCTGGGGGAACTCGCGAATCAGCAGCATGAGGTCCTGCGTGAAGCCGTGATGCAGGCTGAGCAGGGACAGCTCCCAGGGGTAGTGGTCGGCCGGGTTGGCCTTGCCGCGGTCCTGTGCCCGCGCGGCGTCTGCAATCTTCGCCGTCACCATCGACAGCACCTCCACGTCCTTGGCGTGCGTGATGGCCGCGTGCAGCATGGAGGGCTGGCGCTCGAGACTGAGCACGGGCACCGTTGGGATGGACAGCATGCATGCAAGCACGTCCAAACGCCTGCTGTCGCTCGCCGCCCATGCCAGCGGGCTCAGCCCCGTCTTCATCCCGCGCCGCCCCCCGCGACGGTGCCGTCGCTTCTGCAGCTGGTGTTGATGCTGGTGTTGCTGGTGGTGCTGGTGGTGTTGCTGGTGAGGATGCACGAGCGCGGACTTGGACGTGGTGCGGTCCACACTCTCACCGCTCTCGCTCTCACCAAAGCCACCAAAATCATCAGCACCATCCCCATCCTCATCACCGCCATCACCATCCCCAGTACTGGACGCGCTCTCGTGCAGGGTGGACAGCTGTTGTTGCTGCTGGCCCTTGCGTGTGCGATGGCGCTGGAGTTGTTGCGCATGCAGCTGCTGTGACGAGCGCGGTGCATCATCTGCTGTCACCACGGCACCACCACCGTTGCGCGTGTGCACTGCGCCCTGCGCGTGCGGGTCGCTGCCATCTGGCATGGTGCACTCGAGCGTGGACGGGAACGCAGTCAGGCAGCGCTGCAGTGCATTCAGCCGGCGTGCCGGGTTCTCGTTGAAGCGGTCGTGCGCAATCGTGCCTGTCAGCGCAAACGTCGGCATGTGCGGCAGGTCCGTGCAGCGCTCCGGCGCCAGCATGGACCCCATTGGCCACACCCGCAGCGTTTTGTCGTGTGTGCCGCCGGCCGACACGATAAACTGCATGTCTGGGCTCACGGCCACGGCGTTGACCTTGTCGGTGTGGCCCTCCAGCGAGCAGATGCACACAGCGCCACCGCCGCTGCTGATCAGGCCGTTGCTGCCGTGTGCATGCGATGTGGAGGAAGAAGGAAAGTTGGGAGAGAGGGGGGAGGAGGCATGGGAGGAGGAGGAGGAGGAGGAGGAGTGCCCTGCTGCCGTTGTCGTTGCTGCTGCTGTTGCTGCTGTTGCTGTGCTTTCGAGCTGCCACACCTTGACTGTGGCGTCTTCCCCCGCAGAGATGATGTGGCGGTTGTCGCTCGCAACTGTGACGCACGTAACACACCCCTCGTGTCCCGTGAGCACAGCCCTGCACACAACGCGCTCAGGAACAACAACGGCCTCTGGCGGAATGTCCCACAGGCGAATGGTGCCGTCGTCGCCGGCCGAGACCAGCGTGCGCGCGTCGGGCGTGAACGCGAGGTCGCTCACCCCGGCCTCGTCCGCATCAAAGCTGCCGTACGTGTGGGCGTTGAGGGTGAGCAGGACAGACGGCTTGCTCAGGCCGGTCCACAGCATGACAATGCCATCTTCGCTGCCGGATGCGAGCAGGTGTGAGCCGCCCTCCTGCTGCGTGTGCGCCACCGCGTACACGCCGCTGGTGTGGCCGCTGAGCGTGGCCACGCACTTGTGCGCCGCTACGTCCCACACGCGCAGCGTCGTGTCGACGCTGCCAGAGATGAGGTGGCGCGCGCTGCTTGAAGAAGGTGTCGCCGTGCTGGTGGTGGCGGTGGCACTTGTGGTGCTGGTGGCGGTGGCGGTGGCAAATGCGAGGCAGGTGACCGTGGCGGTGTGCCCCTGCAGCACAGCAGCCACGTCGCGGCTGCTGGCGTCCCACACGCGCACGGTGGTGTCGTCGCTGCCTGACGCAAGGTACTTGCCCTCGCTGTCGACAGCGACGGCAAACACGCCGTCCGAGTGGCCGGCGAGCGTGTCTGTGCACATGAGCCGCGGGATGGTGCTGATGCGCAGGGTCTCGTCCGTGCTGCACGACACCACCGACTGCCCATCGGGCATGATGGCCACGCCCTCGATGCTGCGCGCGTGTGTGCCGGCGCTGGTCACCTCTGGCGCGGGCTGCAGGCCCCAGATGCGGATGGTGGCGTCTGTGCCGCCGGAGACGAGGTGGCGGCCCGTTGGGGTGAAGGTGGCGCTGGCCACGACGCCCTTGTGGCCGTAGAAGGTGGCGATGCACGCGCTGGACTCTGCGCTCCACAGGCGCACGGTGCCGTCTGCACCGCAGGAGACGATGGCGTCGTTGCGCGGGGAGAGGGCGGCGCAGTACACGTGCCCGTGGTGTCCCCGGAGGACGCCGATGCAAGTCTGCAGGTCAACGCACCACAGCTTGATGGTGGCGTCCTCGGAGCAGGAGACCAGCAGCTTGCCGTCGCGGGACATGGCCACGCTCTCCACGCTTTTGGTGTGGGCGTGGATGACCGCGGTGCGCTGGCCCGTGTCTGCGCTCCACAGGTGAATGATGCCGTCCTTGTCGCCGGAGCAGATGACCTGGTCGTTGGGGCTGATGGTGAGGCACTCCACGCTCTCCGTGTGCCCGCGCAGGATTGCCGTGCACCTGCCCTTGCGCCAGTCCCAGATGCGCACGGTGAAGTCGAGGCTGCCGGAGACCAGCGCCTCGCCGGTGGACGAAAACATGACCGAGGACACCGGGTTGGCGTGTCCCTTGAGTGTTTGGATGCACTTGTGCGAGCCCAGGCTCCAGACCTTGACGGTGTTGTCACCGCTGCCGGAGGCAATGAAGTTGCCGTCCCGCGACGGCGCCACGCAGGCCACAAAGCTGCCGTGGCCCTCAAACGTGGATGTGCAGCGGTGCGTCTCCAGATTCCACAGCTTGAGTGTGTTGTCGGCGCTGCCCGAGATGACGCACTTGCCATCCGCAGACACCGCCACGGCTCGCACGGGCTTCGTGTGTCCATCACCAACACCACTACGACCACCACCAGCACCACCAGCGTTGAGCGCGCTTCCAGTGGTGTTCGCGTTCGCTCCTCCGCCACCTGCAGCCGCAATCACGCCTGCTTTCACATAGTCTGATTGCAGCTCCTTCAACGTGAGCATCACGTTGCTCGCACTCCGCATCTCACGCATGATGATGGGGTGGTGCGCAGTGGCTCAAAGTGGGTGTGGTCTGGACAACAACACCATGAAATGCGGTGTGGAAGGACTTATGATGACTCATCAATCAGCCCTGGCGCGTCTGGCTGCAAGAGACGAGCAAGAGTGTGACGCGACGATGACGAGGGGTTCTGACAACCGCGGTGATGGCGGTGATGGCCATGCTTCAGCTGCCCCTGCTGCCCCTGCTACCACTGCTGCTGCCGCTGCGAGAGAAGGGAAGGAATGGGCGACGAGGAAGGAGTTGCCGGCGCCTTCTGTGTGGCTGCAGCTGCGCACTGTCTTGTGGAAGAATTGGACCCTGAAGAAGCGCAAACCCATGTCCTTGGCAGCGGAGCTGGTGCTCCCTCTCTTCCTGTTTATCTTGCTCGCCCTTGTGCGCACCCGTCGCCCCGCCGAGCTTGTGCCGACTGGTGAGGGACAAACCCAATGCCAAACAGCTTCACACCCTACTGACACCTCTGCGCGCTCAAACAGACATTCACCCCCCCCCCCTCTCTCTGTGTGTCTCTCTATGGCCACTGCATTGGCACACGGGCTCACCCTTGCATTCACACACACTTGCACACACACTTGCACACACACTTGCACACACACACACACATGCTCACTGAATTACACGCTCACTCGTTACACTCACACTCGCACGCACTGCACCCACGCATTCACAAATCCCCCCAACACACACACACACGTACGCATGCACAGCAACGTACAATGCGGCTGCCCTGCCGTCATCGGGCGTGATTGCGCTGACTCAAAGCCTCGTGTGCAATGGCATCGCCAACTTCGACATGGCTTCGTCCGGGCAGGACAAAACAACCCTGGAGCGCGTCGTCGATATCCTCGACAAGCACGACCTGACGCCAGCCACCTTCCAGCGCGCAGTGACCCGCACCACGCTTGACATCCAGCAGCTGCAGGACCTTGCAGCGTCGCAGAACTCAACGGCCGCCCTGTTTGTGGAAGAGCTCGCGCGGCAGCTCCAACTCGACACCATCAACCTCGACTTGGACAGCGCAGCCGCCACGAGAGCAGACGCGCAGCCCATCACGCAGGCCACGGTGGACGCCATCTGCACCGCAGCACACAGCCTCGTGCCGCTGTGGGTGGAGGGCGACACGAATCTCGACCTTGAGGCGCTCGCCGCCATCCTGGGCCTCAACACCACCACCGCCGCCGCCGCCGCCATACAAGACGGGTCCCTGTCCGCCCTTACCGCTGCAGCGCTGGCCAGTGATGCCTTCATCAACACCACGTTACCCGCTGTGCTGCTTACCCTGAACGAGGTGTACCCGGACTTGTTCCAGTTCACGCCCGCGCAGGTGGCCGATGTGCAAGCGGCACTGTGGCAGGCGGAGGTGGAGGGCGACACACCCCTGCAGATCGCAAGTGAGCTCCAGTCGCTCGTGGGGGAATACACGTCCTTGCCAGAGCCCGTCGTTGCCGCTCTCTTCCTTGTGGACACCTACGATGAGCCCGCACGCGTGGCAGAGGTGGCCGTTGGCGTCGCAAACCGCACAGGGGCCATCACCCCCGCCCTGGCCGCCAACCTGACACGCGAGGTGCACCGGCTCGAACGCGATCTGCAGGCACTCAACAGCGCCGGGCGCGCATTGCAGGAGATCAACAATCTGCCCGGCATTCAGGACCTGCGACAACGGCTGGAGGAGGAGGGCACGGAGATTGACGTGCTGAGCGCATGGCGGGACGTGGCCTGCGCGAGCGGCGCTGAAGGCGCTGTTGGCGGGCGATTCAGGTTCCGACGCGACGCGGACCGTGATGAGGGTGACGGTGATAGCAGTGGTGGCAGTGGTGGTGGCAATAGCGGTGGTGCAAGTGGTGGTATTGCAAGCAATCATGACAGTGGTGGCCGTGTGATGGCGGAGGAGGACCACGAGGCTTGGGCGACACAGAACCTTCATGCTCAACCTCGACACCACACACACCACACTGCGTCACCCTCATCCCCTCCGCCATCGCCCGCCCTGTTCCCTGCTCGCCCATCATCTGGGCTGCTGGGTGCCGTGCGCGACATGGTTGTGAAGCCTTGGTCATCTCTCCTCCCATCAGCCACAGGGGGTGGTGGTGGTGGTGGTGGTGGTGGTGGTGGTGGTGGTGGTGGTGGTGGACCGAGTGAGCGACACCGCCGCAATGAGCAGCCGCTGGATCTCTCGTTTGATGTCAACTCCAACGTGGTCAAGTTGCTTGACCTCGTGCGCCAGGGAACCATCTACTACGCGCCAGATGTGCCCGACGTCCGCGCCGTCATCAGGTGAGCTGTGGGCATCCGCGGTGTTTGCGTGGATAAGCAGGGTGGGGCTTACGTGGGTGGGGGAGGGGGGTAAGGGAGTGCTTGTGTATTCTGCACTTGGTACACGCCGTGCTGCGAACCCACACTTGCCACACACACACACACACACACACACTTGCCACACAAACAAACACACACACACACATTCACACACACATTCACACATGCACACACACACACGCTGCAGTGAGGCGAATGTAACGCTGCAGCAGATTGAGCTGCTTGGATCTGCCCTCGACTGCGCGCTCAACATCACCCGCCCGTACGCAAACAACATCACGCAAACGCTCACAGACATCAACAACAGCACACAGACGAGCGTGAGCGATGACACACTGCGCAACATCACCCGCACCGTACTGGACCCACAACAGCGGCAACAACAGCAACAGCAACAGCAAGGCAACTTTTCCTTCACCCGTCTCATCAACCCAAACCTCTGGCGCGGATTCCCCGATGAGGAGGCGCTTGTGGCTGCCGCCCAGGGCACTGAAAACGTGTACAACGTGTTTGGTGGTGTTGTGTTTCGCGGCGTTGGCGCAGACGGCGCCCTCCCACACAACCTGACCCTCTCCCTGCGCTTCCACGCGCTCAAGGTGCCGCGCACAGACTCGTTGCAACCGGAGTACACATGGGACAACGACGGAGACGTCAGCAACCAGCTGTACTACTACTTTGGCTTTGTGTTCCTGCAGGACCTGATGGAGCGCGCGTATGTGCAGTACCGCAGCAACCACACCGTGCCCCTGCCCGCCGTGTATGCGCAGAACTTTCCCGTGCCGGCGTTTCGCGACGACCTGTTTGCGTGGGGCACCGGGCGTACGCTGCCGCTGTTCATGGTGCTCTCGCGCATCTACTCCGTGTCGCGCCTCACCAAGAACATCGTGTACGAGAAGGAGAAGCGCCTCAAGGAGTACATGAAGATCATGGGCATGAACGACCGCGTGCACTGGCTCGGGTGGTTCCTGACGTACCTCGCCATCATGACTGTCAACGTCATCATGAAGACAGCGGTGCTCAGCCTGGGCGATGTGCTTGCCTTCAGCAACCCGTTGCTCATCTTCATTTATCTTGAGCTCAGCGGCATTGCTGGCATCCTCCTCTCCTTTGTGTTTTCCACCTTCTTTTCGCGCGCGCGCATTGCTGCAGCCGTGTCGGGCATGCTGTACTTTGGCACGTACATGCCGTACGTGTTTCTCGCCATTCGCGAGGAGACGCTCGGCGCTGCTCCCAAGTGGGCCGGCAGCCTCCTCTCCACCACCGCTTTTGGCATTGGCGCCAGCTACATTGCCCAATTCGAGGAGGTAATGCACATCGTACATGAGTGCGGGTGTGTATTGTGTGTGTGCGTGTGTATGTGTGTCTTTTGTGTCCGTGTGTTGTATGTGTGTGTGTGTGTGTGTGTTTGTGTGTGCCTTTGTGTTTCGTGTGTGTGTGTGTGCATGTTCGTCGTGTGCATTTCGGTACGAACACTTCCCGTCATTGCCGGTTTTGTGGCACCAGCGATCTGCTGCACAATGATTTCGCCACCAACAACTTCAGCCCCCCTGCACGCGCCCTCCCTGTGTCTCACCCATGCTTTCACGTCATTTGACGTGCACACTGCGGTGCCGTAGGTTGGTGTTGGGCTCCAGTGGTCCAACGCGGACTCTGGCGTCGGCCCCTGCGACCAGTTCAGCTTTGCCAAAGCCATGTTCATGCTCATCCTCGACTGCTTCCTCTACGCGGGCCTCGTCTGGTACATTGCCTCCATCGCTCCAAGGTGCGACGCACACGCCTGCGGCAGCGCCACAGTAGTCGTGTGCGTACGTGTGCACATCATGTGTTGTGTATCGCTCTGGGCTGCACTTCCTCCTGCATGTCTTGTAGCCTGCGATATGATGAGCGTTTAGCATCAAGTGGATCCCTCTGAATCGGCTGTACTCACATGACCGCCGTTGTCTTCGCCCTCTTCATTTGTCCTTGTTGATCCTCTTCCTCCCACTGTCTCCCCCACTCTCCCTCCCACTCTCCCTGGCACTCTCCCTGGCACTCTCCCTGGCACTCGATCCCACTGTCACCCCTCCCCCGCTTTGAGCAGCTTCGGCATTCCAAAGCCGTGGCACTTCCCCTTCCACCTCAGCTACTGGTTCCCGAATCGCGCCATTGGCAACGGCCGCAAGAGCGCGTGGGGCCGCTCCCGTGCACACGAGTACAACATCTCTGCTCTCCACACCCGAGAGGAAGACGAACACCGCCAGCACATGCACGGGGGCGCGCTGCCTGTTCCCGCTGGGATGGATGCCGCGAAGTTTGAATCGCTGTCACAGACGACGCAAGTTGGCATTTGCGTCGACCACTTGACCAAGGTGTACGCCAGCGAAAGCGGGTCCTGCTTTGGACAGCAGTCGCACCTCGCCGTTGACGACCTCAGCTTTGATGTTCACAGCAACGGCATCACTGCACTGCTGGGCCACAACGGTGAGTGCTCGCGCGCGCGTGTGTGTCTGGAAGTGTGTGTGTGTGTGTGCATGTGTGTGTCTGGATATGTGTGTCTGTGTGTGTGCATGTGTGTGTGTGTCGGTCTGTGTGTGTGTGTGTGTCTCTCTCTCTCTCTGTCTGCCAGTGTATGTGTGTGTGTCTGTCTGTCTGTCTGTGTGTGTGTTCAGGCATCGACCATTTCATGCCTGTGACACCGAATTCACTCCAAACCCATCGCACGCCACACATCTTCACCTTGGCGCGCTCGCGTCGGCTGCAGGCGCTGGCAAGACGACCACCATCAGCATCCTCACGGGCCTCTTCCCGCCCACCAGCGGCACTGCATACGTGCACGGGCGCGATGTGCGCACACACATGGATGTGATCCGACGCGGGCTTGGCATCTGTCCGCAGCACAACGTCCTGTTTGATGACCTCACGGTGCAGGAGCACCTGTTGTTCTGCGGCAGGCTGCGCTGTATTTCCCGTCACAAACTGCAGCAGAAAATCAGCCAGTACTTGAGGTATATATGCTGATGCCCATTGGTGATGATGATGACCATTGGCCGTTTATATGTGTCTGTGACGCCTCACACTCGCACTCAGAGTTGGCTCATGCGTTCATACACACTTACGCACATGCACACGCACCCAATCTTCTCACACGCACACAATCATCACACACACACACACACACACGCGCGCACGCTAACGTGTGGATCACATTTCTTCATGACATTCACACCGTGCGCTGCACCTGCAGGGACGTTGGTTTGGAGAGCAAGCGCGACTTTCTTGCCTCGAAACTGAGCGGTGGACAGAAACGAAAGCTCTCTGTTGCAATGGCGTTCCTGTGCGGGAGCGAAGTTGTCATCCTCGACGAAGCCACGGCAGGCATGGTTAGACTCACTGATCACGGAGACAGCTTCCACTGATGACGATTGTACAATATTGTGCTCAGTTCACACGCATTTTCATACACATTCTCATTTTTGTACACACGCATCCAAGCACACACACACACACACACTCACTCACTCACTCACTCACTCACTCACTCACACACACACACACACACTCTCTCTCTCTCTCTCGCACACACACACACATACTCACACTCGTACTCACGCGCATGTACATGAACCCCACGTATGCCCTGTCAGGACCCTCGGGCACGCCGGTCAACGTGGGATTTGCTGCTGCGGTACAAGAAGACCCGTACCATTCTTCTATGCACCCACCACCTTGGTTCGTCACAAATGGCCTGCGCCATGGCCACAAGCGCCCTGTCAACCATGGCACTTTCACTGACACTCGCTTATTTGTGAACCTCGCAACGTTCTCACGTGCACACGCTCATACCACACAGCTTCTGAGCTACAATTTGCACCCAACCACTCACGTGCATATCCCCCACAACCCCCACGACCAACCAACACACACACACACACACACACACACACACACACACACACACACACACACACACACACACACACACACACACACACACACGCACACAGATGAGGCGGATCTGCTGAGCGACCGCATCTGCATGCTAGCCAACGGGCGGCTGCAGTGCACGGGCTCTCCACTCTTTCTCAAGCGCGCCTTCAACGCTTCCTATGTCCTCAGTACGTGAAAACCCCTCGATGCATCCATCAGCTGAATGTGATGGCACATACGCGCGCACACGCCTGCATACATGAGAGAGAGCCAGAGAAAGTGGGTTTTAACCACCACACCTGGCACTCTTCATGTCACTCTCCTTCATCTCGTGTTTTTCTAACGCGAGCCGCATGCTGTGTGTGTGTGTGTGTGTGTGTGATTGGTACCTTTGCCACTGCCATCATCACGCCAGCGTTTGAAGTCGACCGTTCGCGCGTGAGCGTGGATTCGCTGCTGGAGTTTGTGACAGCGCATGTGTCTGGCGCCGAACTGGCCGACGACGTGGGGCAGGAGGTACAGCCACGCCACATTGAGGGCGCTTGAAGTTGACATCGCATATGGTTGTCCTCACTCACACTCGTGTGTACGCTCAGTATCTGTCTCACTCACACACACACACTCTCTTTGTCTCTCTCACGCATACTCACACTGTCTGTCTCACTCTCCACTCACGCACACACACTGTCCATCTCTGTCTCTCTCCCGCACACTCACACACTCTCCCACACATTCTCTCTAACACACTCACACACACACACTCTCTCTCTCTCTTTCTCTCTTTCTAACACCCTCAACACACACACACACACACACACACACACACAATTGCTGTCACTGCCTGCGTTGCCTGTTGAGCAGGTGTCTGTGCGGCTGTCGCGGGAATCAACATCGCAGTTTCCGTCACTTTTCAGCGCTCTCGAGGGCACGCGTGATGAGCTCGGCATTGTCACGTATGGTGTTGCTGCAACGACACTGGAGGACGTGTTTCTGCAGGTTGCATCTGCTGCCGACGACACGCACGTGCTCGCCAGGGACGCCCGTCTGCGCACAGCGACGCCAGCAAACGCGCCAGTGCCAGTGCGAGGTCGCGCGCCGGCGTGTGAGCGGGGAAATGGCACGTCATCATCACCGCCGTCAGCATTGATGGTGTCAACTTCTTCGGCGTCGGTCACCAGCGACGATGCGCAACAGCTGATCCGAGAGGACGAAACCAATGCGGCCGCAACTGCACAGAGGCACACTAGCAGCCATGGCCACAACCGCAGTCTGTGGCAACGCCTGGTGTCGTCATCACCATCACCACCATCATTAACATCATCATCACCACCAGCGCGATGGCAGGACGCACCCGTCTCGGCCAACGGCGCTTACACAGGCAACCTTGGTCTGTATGTATGTGTGTATGTAACTGTGTGTGTATGTGTATGTGTATGTAAATGTGTATGTAACTGTGTATGTGTATGTAACTGTGTATGTGTATGTAAATGTGTATGTATGTAAATGTGTGTGTGTGTGTGTGGCTGTGGATGTTGGTACGTGGGCACTGTGTTCAGGGTACCAAGCTCCAACTGGCTACAGCCAGATATTCTTGGATGCTGCTCATGTCTTGTTGCTTGGTGATGTGTGGTGCAGTTACGGGCGTTGCGCTCGTGCAGCAGCGGTACAAAGCACTGTTTGCAAAGCGGTGGGCCATTGTCAAGCGGGATGGACGTGCCTTCCTCTCCCAAATCGTCCTCCCAGGTTTTAACACGGTGCATTGCTGGTTTAATTGACATGCGGTGCACACCACAAGTCCACTTTGTTCCTGTGCACGCACAGCACACGCCTGCACGCGCACATAATGTGATAGGTGACAACATTCACTTGTTCCCATCATTCGGTGCGCGTTCAATCTGACATGTGTGTGTTCGTGCAGCTCTGTTCGTGGTGCTCGGGATGCTGGTTGCCACTGCGTTTCCGCCCGTTGGAGAGCAGCCGCCGCTTCAGCTCAACCCAGACATCTTTCGTCAGCACTGCGCAGAGGACAGCACAGCCGCCACCACCCCATATGCACGCGCCTCAAACACCTCTTACGCAGCCAACATCACTCGGGTAATGGATGGCGAGCTGTGGCGGTTGTGCGTTTGTTCCGTGTCACTGGAATGCTCGCTGTGGCACTACAGTTTTCTTTTCACGTCATCAACTGTTGAACACTGTGTTACCTGCCCAGTCCAGCGAGCAGTCGAGACACAGTTGTTCGTTTCAGACGTGCATCGTCGTCCATGTGCTCATGACACCCAAATTCGTGTTGTCGTTTATCTCTTTTGCAGGCCATTCCACTTGGTGCTGAGGCCGCGTTTCAGTTCCTCAATTTGGAAAGTGACCCGGACTTTCTGTCCAGTGCACGAAACATGACGGCGTATCTTCTCAACACTTACGATGAGCTGCAGTTCACCAGGTAAGTGACAAAGGCATACACGTGCAGCTACACGGACTGTGCATGTGTGTGCGTGTGTGTGTGATGACTCGTGGCTCACCGTCTGAGAGAGCCGCACTTCAAATGCCCTCATCCAAAACACGCATACAAACACACACGCATATAAACACACATACACACACGCACACACACGTACATACGCACACACATGTTGATTAGGCGTGCGGCGGTGACGGTTGAGAATGCAGTCAACCCTGTTGTTCGTCTTTCCGCTGCGTTCAATACGCCAGAGCTTGAAACAACGCTCGAAAATGTCACCTTTGAAACGATGCGTGGGTGGTTTGACAACAGGTGTGTATGTATGTGTGTGCGTGCGTGCGTGCGCGCGCGTGTGTGTGTGTGTGTGTGTGTGTGTGTGTGTGTGTGTGTGTGTGTGTGCGTGCGTGCGTGCGTGTGTGTGTGTATGTATGTATTGTGTGTGCGTGCGTGCGAGGTTTACAGGGGTGCCTGTGCATGCGTCATCGTGTCTGACTTTGTGCTCTTGCTGAGTATGGGGCTGTTCTTGCCACTGAATTTCTTTCAATGTCTCCCTGGCGCTTGAAACTTATGCGTGTTCCATGTCCGAACTGCCACTTCCCGTCCCCTGCACGTGCAGGCACTACCATTCGCTGCCAACGGCTGTGCACCTGGCGCACGATGCGGTCCTGCGTGCCAACACCAACAACGAGTACAGCCTCGTCATCGAAAGCTACCCGCTCAACTCCACCGCAGACGAGATGACACAGGGTGAATGACGCTGCTGCGCTTTGTGCTGTTGTTTGTTTGTGCGTGTGTATGTGTGTGTGTGTGTGTGTGTACGTGTGTGTGTATGTGTGTGTGTCTGCGCTTTTCGTACCTGTCTGTCTGTCTGTCTGTCTGTGCATTTGGCGTGTTGGGTGCTTGCATCACATGTGTGTCCTTTGTTCAACTCCCTCTTGCACTGACCACTCACGCCCAAACAAATGCCATCACGTGTGCTGTGACCGTCAGAGTATCTGGAATCCGGCACCGACCTGACTGTTGCCATCAACACCATCCTCGCCCTCTCCTTTGTTCCGGCCTCTTTCGTCGTCTTCCTCATTTCGGAACGCGTCACAAAGGCGAAACACTTGCAAGTCGTCAGGTCAGGCAACCTGTACTGCTCATGCATGTGTATGCGCGCGTGTGTGTATTACATGAAGCGTATTGCGTGAAGAACGAAAGCGAGAAGGTGTGATGTTCATGCGCAGACGCAGTTTGTTGTTTCAGCTCATTCCTCACACATGTGTTGTTCTCACCTTCCTTTTTTTCCGCGCAGTGGTCTGGAGTTGAATACATATTGGATTGGAAACTTCGTCTGGGATCTCACCAATTACCTCTTCCCAGCCCTCGTTGCTCTCCTCATCTTCGTCGCCTTTGGTCAGTGCACGCAACACCTCATACTGCCTTGTGCTTTTCCCCCAAATCCTCCTACAACACGTGCTTGCTGGAACCACACACGTTCACATTAACTCTGTGTGTGTGTGTGTGCGTGTGTGTGTGTGTGTGTGTGTGTGTGTGTGTGTGTGTGTGTGTGTGTGTGTTTGCCCCCTCTTCGCGCCTTCGTTGTTGCTCTTGTTGTGGTGGTGCAGATCTGCCGGCGTATTCGGGCCGGAATCTCGGGCCGGTCACCGCGCTGCTGCTGCTGTATGGATGGAGCATCACCCCCATCATGTACAACCTGTCCTTCCTCTTCAAGATTCCGTCCACAGGGTAAGCGTGTGCATGTGCAGCACAAGAAACCCCGTGAACTCCAAGACTGCGTCTGTCGTTGCGTCCAGATAGCGATCCTTCGCTACCACAACGTCATCACCGACAACAACAACACGACCACGGCTGTCATCAACATCGCCATTACCATCATCACAGGTACATTGTGCTTATCTGCGCCAACTTGTTCGTTGGTGTCACGGCGACACTCACAACGTTCATCCTCGACCTCTTCCCTGAAGATGAGGTGCGACACTGGTGTGTGTGTGTGTGTGTGTGTGCGTCTGCGTATTCATGTGTGTGTATTCATGTGTGTGTGTGTGTATTCATGTGTGTGTGTGTATTCATGTGTGCGTGTGTGCTTACGTCGATGTGTGCGAGTACATGTACAAATGATTCGTCTTCACCATGTGTTTGATTTGCAAACTCTTTAACAACGTTGCTGCTGCGTGTTATCATGTGCAGGATCTGACGGAAATCAACGGGGTGCTGAAATGGGTCTTCCTCGTGTTTCCAAACTACTGCCTCGGTCGTGGGTTGATGGATTTGGCCGCAAACGAATACATTGCGCAGTTTTATGAGTGCGTTTGGGGGGGGGGGGTGCGTTTTGCGTGAATAGGGGAGCGAGAAGTGACATTCAAGCGGCTTGTATGTGTTTTCTGTGTGTGACTGTGTGTGTGTGTGTGTGACTGTGTGTGTGTGTGTGACTGTGTGTGTGTGTGTGTGACTGTGTGTGTGTGTGACTGTGTGTGTGTGTGTGTGTGTCTGTGTGTGTGTGACTGTTTGTGCGATGTTTTTCTTCTGGTGCTCTTCCTTGCTTGTTGGTTTTGCTGCTGACCACTGCTTGTGCGTGTACACCATGACGCGTGACGGCCGGGCACGCGCACTCACAGATGGCCAACCGTGCACACACTGCATTCACCCATTCACCCTGTGTGCGCGCGTGTGTAGGGCTGCTGCTGATCTGGTTGAGGGCGTTCCTACATACCAGTCACCATTCAAGTTTGACATCATCGGCAGAAATTTGTTTTTCATGGCCATGCAAGGTCAGCACAACACATGCGCACAATATTGCAATTGTGTATCTGTCTGTCTGTCTGTGTCTGTGTGTGTGTGTGTGCGTGTGTCTGTGTCTGTGTCTGTGTGTGTCTGTGTCTGTGTGTGTGTGTGATCAAGCTGTAGTGTTGCGCTGCGTTGTTTCAGGTCGATGACTGATTACTGGTGTGATTTCGACCCATTCCCCCCCCCCACGTACAGGCGCATTGTTCTTTGCGCTGAATCTCTTCCTGGAGCACCGACGCGCGCACCAACAGCGGTCGAAAGACAACGCGGCAGCTCCCAGCACATCCACAGGTACGCTGTGCCGCAACCGGTGTGCAGGAATGGACAGGCGGCGAGGCAGTATAAGTGACATGATCATCTGTATGAGTACATATCAGGTTGTGAGCTCACGCATGCATGCACGCACACAAATGTACAAACGTGCACCACATGCACCTACACAAATGCACATGCACGCACGCACACATGCATACATGTTCTCTCTGCTTGACGCAAACGCTCCACCTAAACATGGGTCTAAATCATCATCCACGCTGTGTTGCGTTCCCGCTGGATGTGTCGCGTCGATGGCAGTTGGCACCATTGACGATGATGTGCAGCGAGAAGCGCTGACTGTCCGCGAGCGGCTGCAGGAATATATTTCCACACGCGCTCTCGTCATGCTCGACTTGGCAAAGGTGAACATGTGCGATGCGCGTGCTTGTGCATGAACGCCTGCTGTGTACGTCGCTGCATGTGTGCTGCCTGCATCTGCGCGCGACAAGAGATTGCTCCCTGTCACACTGACACACGACATGGTGCGTGCCCAATTACCACTCACACACACGCACTCACACACACTCTCTCACTCTGTCACTCACGCACTCACTCACACACACAACCGTGCATGCAGGTGTACAAGGGAAAACGCAAGACCACAAAGGCTGTGAGAGGGTACGATGGATCAGTTCCGTGCAATCACGCATACGTGTGGCGTGCGTGTTGCTGTCATTTCAAACTTCCAAAAATTGTGCGGCGAAGACACCGTGCTCACATATGACCCTTTGCCGCTGCACAGGCTGACGCTCTCTGTTCCTCGCGGGGAATGCTTTGGCCTCCTTGGTGTCAACGGTGCAGGTGTGCCATTGATTGTATTCACACCATGCATGTCACTTCACAGCCTTGAATTATTCACCCAAGCCAGTGCATCACTTGGTCTGCACAACAATCTCAATCATCCATCAGCATGCCACGACATTTTCGTTCGCTACATTGCCACCGCTGCACATCGCCAATCATACCCTCACCAATGGCTTCTCTTGACACCAATACCATCACGCATGCCATTGCCTGCAGGCAAAACTACGACGTTCAAGATGCTGACGGGTGATGTGTCCGTCTCTGCCGGTGAAGCCTGGATTGCTGGCAGCTCCATTCTCTCCAAACTTGATTCAGTGAGTGCACTGCTTGCCCTTGTCTTCGCGTGTAACATGTGTTGTGTCAGAACAACACAACATGCATGTTTGAGGTATGTATCTGCTCCATGCACCTACGCGCACCTGTGCACGGCTTATGGTCTGTGCTTACCCGCTTTCACTTCTTCTTGACAGGTTCGACAACATCAAGGGTACTGTCCACAGTTTGACGCTCTCAATGATCTGCTCACCGGCCGAGAAATGCTCACGCTCTACTGTCGCTTGAGGTGCCAAGTGTGCATGCGTGCGTGTGCGTGTGCGTGTGTGGGCACGTGTGCGCGTGTGTTGTGTGCGTACCTGCGTGGTGTTTGTGAAGACCATGTGCTTGCACTGCGTGCTTCTGTGTCTGTGCACATTCTCATTCTCACTCGCGCATATGTACCGTTGTTGTGCCGTTTGATATCATCCCATCAAAGGGGGATTCCAGAGCAGCACATCCCAAGTATCTGCGCGTGGGCAATCCACAAGATGCAGCTGACAAAATGGGCCGACCGTGTCACAAAGGTGTGTGATCTAGCGGGCGTTCGTTCTCTTGCTTTGTGTCGTTAAACGTATCCAGTCAGCACCAGCACCAGCACTTGTGTGGCCTTCGCATTGATGCCGTCACACACACACACACACACACGCACGCACGCACGCACGCACGCACGCACGCACGCACGCACACAAACACATTACATTGCTCATGGATTACTCCTTGATGTACGGGTACTGCAGGTGTATTCTGGCGGGAACAAGCGCAAGTTGAGTGTTGCACTGTCCCTTCTTGGCACGAGCGAAGTTGTCATGTTGGATGAGCCGACCGCCGGCATGGTAAGTCAGCTTGTGTGTGTGTGTGTGTGTGTGTGTGTGTGTGTGTGTGTGTGTGTGTGTGTGTAGTAGTAGTGTTATAGTACACGGCTATAGCGTATCATAAGTGGGTTAGTGGTTCCGCGGGAGGAAATACCAAGGCAAGATGACAATTGCTATCCATGGTAGCTCCGAATTGCTCACTGTGTGTGTGTGTGTGTGTGTGTGTGTGTGTAAATGTGTGTGTGTAAATGTGTGTAAATGTGTGTGTGTAAATGTGTGTAAATGTGTGTGTGTAAATGTGTGTGTGTGTGTAAATGTGTGTGTGTGTACGTGTATAAGTGTGTGTCCGTGTGGACAAAGCGCAGCCAGCCCTCGCTCTTCTGCCACGTGCACATCATCGTCTCACCGTCCCTCCCAATAACCCTTGTCATCATCTCCTCTCTCGTGTCTTGCAGGACCCGCGTGCGCGCCGGTTTCTCTGGTCGCAAATCACCGACGTCGTGCGTGCTGGGCGAAGCGTCATCCTGACCTCCCACGCCATGGACGAGTGCCAAGCCCTGTGCCAGCGGCTGGCCATCATGGTCAATGGAGAGTTCAAGTGCATTGGTACCCCGCAGCACCTCAAGTCAAAGTTTGGCGATGGATACACACTCTCCCTCAAGGTACACTACAACAGCAAACAGCGTTGCATATGTGCGTGGATGAGTGTGTGTTTGTGCGGCGTTGCTGAAGTTCATCATTGACAGACAGGGCTATTTGTTCTTGGACTCACCACAATGTGTCATTGAATGACGGCTGCCACGCTCTCAATCCAGGTGCAAGGCTACCCACCTGACACTCGTCCCGCCCTACATTTTGTCAAGCAGCATTTCGAAGGTGTGGTATCCACACTGATCTGTTTGTGCAATGGAGTTGCTGCTCAACAACCTGTGCATGAAGACTGGTGGCTCCTTTATTGTGATTGAATTTCTTTTCATCGTGGCGCACACGCTCACGGCGTCCCACACCAACCTGTGCTTGATCCAGGCTCCTCGCTGGAAGAATGCCACAACGGGCTGATTCGGTTTCATATCCCCAACCGTACAGTGGAAGCATTGACGCTGGCGCGATGCTTTGACCTGCTGGAACAGGTGTGTCGCCACCACACCACTGCCGCTGCCCCTCTTGCGGCACCCTGATCATCAATGACGTGTGCAGTGCATCCACAGTCATGATTTCTGCATCGCTTGGACTTGACTTTATACGCACACACACACACACACAACCACACACACACACGCACACACACAACCACACACACACGCACACACAACCACACACACACAACCACATGCAATTGTACTCACCTTACTCAACCCACCACACTCAACCTGCACACACGCACATACGCTCTGATGCAACAAGGCTGTGCGTGACGCCGGTGTTGAGGACTACAGCTTCTCCCAAACAACACTTGAGCAGATCTTCTGCCGCTTTGCGGAGCAGGGCGCTGAGGCAGCCGCAGAGGAAGAGAATGAAGATGATAGTGATGAAAGTACAGGGGGAGGAAGAGGAACACCGGACGCAAGGGCTGGTGATTTGGGAGCGGGAACAGCAACCGTGGTCATGAACATGGCATTTGAGGAGAAAGAACAGGAGGAGGAGAGCAATGCGCTGCATGCTGGTGGCCTCATGAGCGCCAATGATGGCGAACTCTCGAGTGATGATGGTCCTGACGATGGGCATGGGCAGGAAGCAACTCGCGATGACCCGGGCTACCTCGCCATTCTGCCGTAAATTCCAGTCGTGTAACTTTCTTTGTTTCTTTGTTTGTCTTCGCTGGTGTATTGAAGCCGTTTGTCCGTTTACTGTTGGCATTGGTGCCTTTCTGACTGAGTGCGATGCTCGCTCCCTCCTTTACCAACAACCAACGTGCGTGTGTGTAACACAAAAAGTAACCAGCTCGTTCGCGCCATCTTAGGAAACATCCAACGCACTACACGAGCAAATGAAGCTCAACAAGAAAAAGATGACAACGCGTACCCGCACACGCACAGCACAAACTCTCTCGCCCAAGCTCACACATGGAAGTTGGAACGTTCACGCCACGTGGGACTCGAGTGCAGTGACCACATGGTACTTGGTGTGCACGCTGTCAGCGTTCAACAGGCTGTCGTCTTCGTCCAACTCGGCATCATCTTCTGCAGTTCAGAAACAAGCAAGTGAGTGTTTGTATGTTCGTGTTTGACGAAGTAAGAACCAGTTGGCAATGGCATACACACATGCGAACGAAGAGTGGTACAACCACATACACACACGCGCACGCACACGCACACACTTTTTTCATAAAATACACGCACACACGCATACCACACAATCTCATACCTGATGGGAGGTATGTGGTTTGACTGGCAGAGTTAATAAACTGGTACGTGCGTGAAGGGCAGGCCGGGTGGGTCAACTTGGCGGTCCACGTGGACGGCTCCAGCCCACTGCACACTTTTCGCAGCTGTGGTGGTTGTTGATAATTGTGGATTGATCGTTGGATCAGTGAAGCGATGAATGTGATAACGAGAGAAACAGTGGGACAGAAGTAAACCTCTACCCACTCGCACACACACACACACTCACACACACACGCACACACACACACACTCTCTCTCTCATTTACGCATATGCAGATGAAAGCACAAAGAGTGCTCTTGCTACGCACCAGTGCTGCGCCGGCGGAAAACTCTGGCAACGCATGTTGAAGCTGTGGAACGGTCATGCCGGTGTCCTCATCGCTGTTGTCGTCACGGTGATTGAGCATTGCAGAAAGGACATCAGAGAGGGCTGCAGTTGGAAGGTCGAGCGACTTGCGCAGCAGTGCAGCTGCATCCATGGCCCGCAGCACAACCAGAAGTCGGTCCAACTGATGCATGAACAATGCGCAGTGAACATTACAAGGGGAAAGTATGCATGTGTGTAAGCAAACTGTGTGTGTATGTAAGCAGTGTGCCTGTGCGTGTGCCTGTGCGTGTGCATGTGCGTGCATGTGCGTGCATGTGCGTGTGTGTTGAGATATAATCCATCTGGCAGTCATTTGTGAAGTGAACGCACCTGAACGTCAAGTGGCAGGTCGTGACACTTGAGCAGCGGTGCCAACTGTCGTTCCGTTGCCAGTTTGAGGCCTGACATAATGTGGTTCGGAAACGAAAGTCAAAGACAATCAAACCCTGACAACGCTTGTGCTTGTTTTGCAACGCATATTCAAGAACTGTCGCACACATGCACACATACACATACATGCATGCACAGACATGCATACAGGTACGAACACAAACACAAACACACACACACACACACAAACACTTCACATGCGTGCATACATATACACTGTTGCTGCACTGCTGAAATCACCGCATATGCTCACCCAGGACGTTTTCAAGAAGGTCGCGCTGCAGCTTGACGACGCCAGCCTCCATGACACACGCAAGCAGCGCCGCAGGATCCGTTGCTGAAAACAAGAGACCAACGCGTGCGTGTGACATAACCGGACGAGCCTCAATGTGTGTGTGAAGCATGTAATGTGCGAACAAGCCTTTGACTTTCACGCACAGGCGCACATGCACCACACACGCACAGACGCCAAAACAGGAAGAAGACGCAGCGTTCAGCACAGGCCTCACGCACTCTCTACGTTATTTATGTTTCTCACCCATGCTGGCCAAGAGCGCGCTGAGTTCTTGCTTGTCTTCCGCGGTTGTGCGCGCCGCGAGGCGGTTCGCCTTTTCGCACGCAATCACGAGCTGTGCCATCTGCGAGGGCATACACGTCAAACACACAAAAAAAAATTGAGCATTGGAGTACGAACGCAAACAAAGCAAAGAGAATGGATGAAAACGGGGGAGGGTGGGCGATAGGAACACGCACACAGACACACACACACACACACGCAGAGAGACAGCCGCACACACACATGCAGACACGCCCACACACCCACACACAGGCACGCACACACACACACATACACACACACACGTACAAAGGCATAGATCACGCAACATGGGAACAAACCTGCGTCTGGTTGCCGGGGTGCACGCTGCCCTTGACCTCTCCGCGGCGCATGGCCTGGAAAATGGCCACAAGGCCTTGGCGCAGCTGCTGAAACGAGCTGCAATCTGACAATACGAACACGGCAAGTTGGAGACACGCCAGCATCATGACGGGACAGAAGTCATTCCCACCGCGCGCAGCAACACGTCCCCCAGCAGGTATCAAGAAGCACACCCAACATGCTCAGTAGCACACACAAACAAACACACAGGTAATGTGAAGGGCTGATGTCGGTCAATTTCTCGCTCACGGCGTTGTTTTCGTGCTGCCAATCATGCAGAGCCTTGCTCTCCGTCCTGCTCACCTTTCACAAAGCGCCACACACGGTCTGGCAAATCGAGATCTCGTCGCTCGCTGAAGAGCGGACGGGCATCGCTCCCTGCGCCGGTGGCGGCCGATGATGATGACGACATCGTGTGAGGGATGGTGGATCCACCAGCCAGGGTCATGTCCCCGGCCCCATTATCGCCGTTTGCGTTCAAGAAGTCCTCGAGCTGTCCAAAACGCCACGAACGTAACACATCAAAAACGTCCCATGAGTGCGAATGGGTGCGGCATCAAATGCGCATCATCACATCACGCTACTGAGCGGCCGCAGTGTATGCAGACAAGTCTTGTCTTTGTCTTTGTTCCCATGTGCCTGAGGAGTTGACCACCGTTCACACCGACTCGTTTCTCCGTGTTCTCGTCGCAACGAACCTTGTACTCGAAGTCGTCGTCATCAAGCGATGGCCGTTCCTGCGCGTGCACTTCCTCCCATGCAGTTTCCACATCGATATCTGCAACACGTGCAAACACACACCCAAACACACACACGCAAGCAAGCAAAAACGAATGCGTGAACAACAAGAAGTTGCTTTCATCCATTTTTAAGCAACAGACTCAGCACGACATTGATCACGACCATTGCAACGTTCAAGGGCGTTGCATCACACTCACCATCGACGGTGTGCAGGTGCTCCACGACCTTGCACAGCCGAGCCAGGCTGCTGGCCTCATGATGGAAACACGAGGTGCTGCCTTTCGGGTCAGGAAATGCCTCTGTTTGCATGCAGATGCGCGTATCCGCATGTGATTTGTTGAAATGAACGTTCAAATCAAAGCACCACAGTGAACTCATCTGTATGTATGTATGTGTGTATATTCATACATGTATATATTCATACATATATACATATGTGTGTGTGCACATGTGTATTTACGTGTGTGTACACAAACACGACAAAACTGTGCGGCAGCACGCGCTTCTTCCTCAGGCACGCACGACAGAGTTTCTCTCAATAGCACATGTGTATTAAGTTGCATGCACCTCACATTCACATCAACACGCTCTGCACCGCAACTTACGAAATCGAAGGATGACGGGGCACGCGTGCGGTGGTGCTGAGAGGGTTCGACAGACTGCCTCCCACGCAAACTCCACATGCAACCAAGACTGAAGGAAACCAACACATTCGCGAGTGAATGCGTGAGTGAGTGAGAATGAGAGTAGTTGTGTGAGAGTGCGTAGGTGAGCAAATGTGACTGTGTATGTGAGTGTGTTTATGATGAATGAATGTAACAGAACGTTGATGAGCGAGCGTGAATGTATGAGTGCGTGAATGTATGAGTGCGTGAATGAGTGTGAGCGTGAATGAGCGGGTGATCAACAAAGAAACCTGAGTGAAGATCGATCGTAAAAGGTCTGTTCTACTGTCATTGGGACAAGCTGTGCCACTGCCATTACCTCCTTGCTGGCTGTGTCGCTGCTGCCGCCGCCAGCCGTTGCTGCTGATGCTGTGCCCAAGATGTCATAGACGGCCGCAATGTGGGCGGAGGGCTTCACACCCACGCTCGTGTTGTCATCTGCAAAGCGCAGGGTGCCGTACTCCTCCAGCAACTGCGGCAGCTGCGGCAACCCGGCGACCTCAACGGATCCTGCAACGGTGAAGATCCCACAACATTGGACATGAGCTTCAACAAAGCCGCAAACACCAGCGGCTGTCGAGGCACACCATTTGTCAAAGCCAAGCAAGCAATCTTGACGCAGTAGTCAACATGCATTTGAACCTCGATGCGTGACAGTGAAGATGTGGGCAACCGTTGTGCTGCCTTTGTCCGGGTTAGAAGGCTGGACGCAGAAGAAGGCAAACCGTGTGTGGTTGCACTGGATCACCCAGGGCAGAACCATGCCACTGTCCTCCCGGCACAGCTGCGTGACTGCGGATGCAGCCAGGCTACAGCAACAACACCAATACGTGTGGACAGGCAGCAGTGTTGTTGAGCCATTACAGTAGTGTGAGTGTGGTGTCAGGGGGCCATCGTCACAAGTCATGCCCACAAGAACGTTGTGCGAGTTAACATGCATGTGCGCACGAATGTACGTAACATGCATGGGAGACTGTCATTATCTGTGTGCGTACCGCGCCATTGCCAGAGGAATTCCAGTTGTCTTGGAGGTGCAGCAAAGCAGATCTAAGCGAGACTGCAAGACCGCATCCTCCTGAAAACAAAGCACGTACGAGGACAGGTAACAAGACGAATAGACATGAAAATGAACATCCATCGAGCGTGTGTAATGGAGGAGGCATGTCTGTCTGTGTGTGTGTGTCTGTGTGTGTGTCTGTCTGTGTGTCTGTCTGTGTGTGTGTGTCTGTGTGTGTGTGTGTGTGTGTCTGTCTGTCTGTCTGTGTGCCTGTCTGTGTGCCGGTCTGTCTGTCTGTCTGTCTGTGTGCCTGTCTGTGTGTCTGTCTGTGTGTCTGTCTGTCTGTGTGCCTGTCTGTGTGAGCGCGACCCAGACATAACGCATACATGTCAATTCGGTGCTTCCAGTCTGCGATTGGGTGATACTGAAACCAGAGCAGAGGACGCGTCGTGACAAGGACCGCTAGGGTAAGCAGCCCCGCCTCCCCCTCGCAAGTACCTCGGTTTCGACAAGTTGGGGCCGGGGGTGTGTCGTGTGCGCGAGTTGTTGCAGGACTTGTGTCGATTCAAAGTTGAGGGTGCCGTCCTTGTCATTGTGAAGAAGAACGAACGGCAGGTGATGACCAAGGATCTGACGCACAGGGTGCTTGTGCGTGGCTGGGAAGTATGACACGCAAATGCCCTGTCATAGCGCAGCGTAACAATGCAAGTGAGGGGGGGGGGTGAGCTAACGTTGACATCAGCACAAGGCCGCAACTTTCAGTGCGAAGAGTGAACGAGTGGGACAACAAGCCGACAAAGCCACATTTGCAACGGCTCACACGTCCTTCCGGGCTCGCCTACCTCGCCAATGGGTTCGGTCGAGAACTCCTCTTGGTTTGGCATCCTGCACAACCGAGAGTGTGCCAGCGTGAGTGTATTTCGTTGCTATCTTCACGGGCCACACAAAGCAGAGAGCAAAGAGTACCCTTGTCACCAAACACTGCACCACCATTGTCACGTACGTGCGTTGCCACTCTCCGAGCACTTGCTTCAACATTGCCAAAGGCGTTTCAGGCTCTGCCATGCTGTGTTTGTGTGTGTGTGTGTGTGTGTGTGTGTGTGTGTGTGTGTGTGTGTGTGTGTGTGTGTGTGTCTGTCTGTCTGTCTGTCTCTGTGTTTGTGTTGAGTGTGTGTGTCTGTGTCTGTGTGTGTTTGTGTTGATGTGAGCGTTGTTATCGTTGTTGCCGCCTGCTTCAAAAATTTCGCGGCACACTGGTCGAAATTTAATGCAAGATTCAAACGATTGTCTGCAAACTAACGGCGTGAAGGGAAGAAGGGCGGTGGTGGCCCGTGATGGTGGTGGTGGTGGTGTGGCGGCGGTGCTTGGAAGCGTGGGTGGGGGTGAGGGTGAGGGTGGGGATGGTGGTGGTGGTGGTGGTGGTGGTGGGGATGAAAGCTATGCGACACGTGAGGTGGGCCAAGAGGCGGAGGCGGAGGAGGAGGCGGCGGGCCGTGCGGAGAAGGCCCTTGATGGTAGGGGTGGTGATGATGGTGAGGGCTGGGTTGGTGGTGGTGTCGCGGCTGATGCTGGTGGTGTTGGTGCTGGTGGTGCTGTTGTGGATGGGGGCGATGGAAGGCCTCACGGTGCTGGTGCGACGACGGTGGTGGGGTGGACGATGGGCGATTGCGGGGATGTGGTGGCTCTGAGGATGAGGAGACCGACCGCTGGTGTGGCTGTTGGTGGTGGGAACGGTGCTGAGGTGGTGCATGTGGATCACGCTGCTGCTGCTGCTGCTGCTGCTGCTGCTGCTGCTGCTGCTGCTGTGCTTGCGGCGCAGCAGCCAAGGTGCCAGGTACATCTGAGCGCTGCTGCCGCTGCCGCTGTTGCTGATGATCCTGGTATTGCTGGTGCGGGTTCTGTGCTGCTGTTGTTGTTGTTGTTGTTGTTGCTGCTGCTGCTGGTAGCGCAGAGCCATTCGCGGCTGCGCCGTTGCCACCGCCGTTGTTGCCAGCAGCACCTGCGCCCGTCGATGCGGTGGTTGGCGCTTGCCCGTCCTTGCGTGCTTGCCGCCGTTTCCTGCGCTCCTCCTTGGACCACATCTCATGACAGTCTAAACACGCGTACGTGTGTATTGTGTGTTTGCGCGTGAGTGAATGTTTGCGTTTGTGAATGTGTGGGTGTTTGTGAATGTTTGCGTGTGTGAATGTTTGCGTGTGTGAATGTTTGTGTGTGTATGTGTGTGTGTGTGCACGTGCGTGTTCATGATGCGTACGTGCCCGATTGTCTTTTCAACACGGCCAGACACGGCTCTCAAAGACAGTGCAAACGCGCGCACACGCACACACGCATGCACATGCACACGCACGCACGCATGCACATGCTTACGCGCACAAATGCAGACGCACACGCATCTATACAACCACACCTTGATTGCGGGTGAGGATGAGGGGTTGGAGGGGGAAATCAAGCTGCAGGTACGGGTGCTGCAGCGTGTCATCGGTCGAAATGCGCTTGCGCGGGTTGAATATCAACATCTTCTCCAATAAATCAATGCCGTCACTCGTCATGCTATGAAAAGCGGTACGACAAAAAAAGTGGAGGCACGGGTGTCAGTATAGCAGCGTTGCACGCGACAACACTGAACAAACGAGAAATGCACCAGCGCAACAACACTGTTTGCAACAAACAGCCAAAAAATCATCACGCACACAAACGTACCTGTGTCGCAGTGCAAACTCGCGTAACCTCGGGGAGTACAACCTCTTCAGCTTAATCGTGTTAAAGAATGGTAACTAAACCAAGAACCGTCAAACAAGGCAGTAAGCAACGCCGGTGTGCATGGGACATCGTGAGCCTGAACATAGATTGGATGGGGCAGCGCAGTGTGCCAACACGACAGCAAAGGCAGACTTCGAAACACGATGATGCACTGTTACGCACTCTGCGGTATTCGGGCCACGCCTTTTCGTCCGGTGCCCCGCAAATGGCACAAATCGCATCCAACTGCAGCAAATCGCTCTCCCCTTGAAATATCGCCCGCTTCGCATACATCTGCGTGTATATGTGTGTGCGTGTGCGTGTGCGTGTGCGTGTGCGTGTGTGTGTGTGTGTGTGTGTGTGTGTGTGTGTGTGTGTGTGTGTGTGTGTGTGT